CATTAGTGCACTGCCATTATCACAGCCTGAGCCCAGTGCAGTGCTGGGTCTGGGAAAGTCTCTCAGGAACACACTGGAGGGGGTGGCTGCACCCAGCTTGACTTTGGAGGGCTGAATTTACCCTTAGGGAGCACTGTGTGCCTCAGCACTTCCCTGGCAGGAGAGGACAGCAGCAGGCTGGGGAAGAAACAAGCTGAAGGGGGTCAAAGCCCAAACAAGCCCTGCACCCCAGGGCCCTCCCTGGGAGCACATCCTGGTACCAAACCCAGCCATGGCCCTGTCCTGCTATCCCCTCCCCCCAGAAGCATTTCAACAAAGCATCACCTGAATAAATACTCAGACCTGATGCTGCTCTCACACCTCCTATTGACAATATCTTCATCATTATGCGAGACCTTGTTGACGCTTTTTAATCTTCATAATTATAGTCTGGCAAGGAGAGATCGTTAAACACCGAGCAGAAAGAAAAAGGAGAAGGGAAGAAAAAGATACAAAGGTGATCTGTGCTTTACCATCTCCCTAGGAAACTAAACCTTTTTCATTTTGACTGGATTACAGAGAGAGTAGGGGAGATGCAAGATGCTCTTTTCATAAAAAACAACAACAACAAAAAAAAGGGAATTGGAGCCTTACTGGAATTACTGTCCTTGGGAGATCCAGCCCAGAGCAGGGCTCCAGGGAGCAGGGAGGGTGCAGGGCTGGACCCTCAACCTGAGAACCCCAACTCCTTTACTTTTGCTGATGTTTTCCAGGTGAATAAAAATGCCTGGGCCAGAGTCAGCTGAGTGAAAACTCCTTATACAGAAAACAAATTTACCACAAAGTAGATAAAACATACCAGATCCCAGCACTAGGTCCTCTTCCCCAAAATCAAGACTAGCTCCCTGAAGACTATGGAGTTCCAAGGACCAAATAGCATCTATCCTGCACGCTGGCTTTGCCTGTCATCCAATGTCACGTTTAATTCATCACTCAGGCACAGTTCTGGTGCCAAGTCCCTCTCCACATCTTCCCCAAACTGAAATGTTCACAGTTCTGGGCTCTGGCTCAGTGCCCAAAAGAGAAGAAAGTGAAATTCCTCAAGTCTTAAATGAAAATTGGAAGTGATGCCCCAGTCATGGAGGATTTTGGCCCATGGAACTGAAAGCTGGGTGTGACCAGGAGGGTCTGAGTGCTGAGTTGGGATGTGATGGGGGGAGAAAGGCCAGCAGCACCCAGCAGGATGGGACTGTGACACTGGGAATGTGATACTGGAACCGTGCTCATGCTGCCACATCACCCAGCAGGGACCCACAGGGAGAATCCTACACAGGTGCAGGGGGAAACCAAGGGCTACAGAATCAGGTTACATCTTTTATTAGACAAGTGTTCAGCTCCCAAAAGCTGAGCCACCATTCCTACCAGCACAGGTCAGGTTAATAAATGATCCCTCTCCCTCAAACCTGTTTTGCTGGGAGCCCAAGAGGGTTGTGCTGCTGTCAAACTGATGCTCAGCCATGGGCACCGTGATCCATGCAGGGGACCAGAGTGAACTCTCACACTGACCACTGTTACATCCCACAGAACGCCTGGATCTGGTTTCCAGCTGGCAAACAGAACTACAGAGCCAAGAGCTGGGTGAGCTGGACAGAACTCCGCGGTGAATTCTTGCCCGGATCCAGCACCATCACAAACGAGACCTCCTTTGCTGCTGAGATGAAGTCAGAGCCACCCTTGGACACTCTTGTGGTTTTCCAGACTGATCTGCTCCCTCTCCCCTTCCCTTTCTGCAGGCATTCTCCCAGCTCAGGGCTCTGCATTGCTTTGCTAAGCGTGTCTGGAGGGTGGTTAATGAAATGTTTTGGTGCACAGGATCAGGTTTCCTGTGTGCTGTTTGCCGATGGCACCGCTCCTCCTGCTCCTCCGATGGCTGCGATCCACATCAGGCAGGGGATTGCACCACGGGATTCCCAGAGCAGTGAGGCTCTGCCCAGCCAGCAGAAGAGAAACAATTTCCAGGACCCCTCCTGATTGCCAGGACCTTCTCCCACTCCTGGAGGTTATCCCTGACCCCCATCAGCCGAGGATGTGGGGTGCTGACGTTAGGGGAGCAGAGCTGATTAGCAGCGGGTTATGGCTGGAGCTGGGCAGTGCCAACACTCACCCACGCTGGCATGGGAGCAAGGTGACACAGGACTGTGGCATGGGGGGTCACACTCAGCATGACAGCAGCATGGAGGAGGTGCAGAGGTCCTGGACACTGTGGGACAGTAAGGAGAGGGTCTTGGGAATTCCTCCTCTTGCACAGAGAGAGCCTGGCTGTTAACAGCAAGGTAACCCCACTGGTTCCAGTGGCACCAATACTGGTCTGTACTGGTTGGAGAGCAGAAGCCAGCCCAGGGCACACAGCCAGGGCAGTGCAAGTCTGGGCACCAGAGACCATCACAAACCCCTCATCCAGCCATCACAAACCCCTCATCCACACACATCCTCATCCCTGATGGGACTTCGTAGTCACCCTGTGCTCTCCCACCCTGACCCCAGGTCACTGCTGGAGATGGGGTTCCCCTGTCTCAGGGGCGATGCCCAGGGCACAGGGCTGTTCCAGCCAGTCACTTCCTCACTGTGGAATTCAAACGCAGTTAAGAAAGCAAACAGCCAGGCAAGGAGCGTTCCCCGGGGTGAGAGTGCCCTTCTCGCGTCTGTCGCGCTCACTCCCGGCTCCACTCGGAGCAAGCCGGAGCCTTGGGAGCCCTCACAGGCTTTGTGGCATCCCCTTGGCCAAGTTCCCCAGTCCCAGGCAGTGCCGCGGCATGCAGCAGCAGAAATCGCTGCAGGCAAGCAGATCCAAGCAGCTCCCGAGTGTGAGAAGAGAAAACCTTTTCACACCTGAGTGCAAGCGAGCGGCGTCAGCCCAGCCCGTCCTCCCTGCGCCGGGCAATAGCCTGGGCTAAGCAAAAAGGCAGCGAGCAGATCCTTGCTCCAGACCCCCAAACACAGCGGGGAGTGCTGGAAACCTCACCCCACCTCGAGCTTCGTTCCCCGGCACGTTCCCCTCCATCCATAAGGGGTTTTGGTCCCTCTCCCCATCTAAACACCAAGGAACTGCCACCACCTTGTGTCTCAAGCTCAGGAGCAGCCCAAGCACATATCCAGGGAAGCGAAGAAGCCGGAGAGCAAGGGCTGGAGAGGGGAAGCGAATGTTTGGAAGCAAAAATGGGGAGTTACAGCAAGGGGAAAAGCAATGGGTGGGTACGGGTGTGCTGGAGCCGGAGGGGTTCGGGTTTGGACACCTACCCCAGCCCCACTGCCAGTTCAGGGTGGGTTTCAAAATTTCCAACTGCACCAGCAGGCTTGAACCAGAGGAACCGAATCCCCCCGAGTATCAACATCTCCGAGAACGGTACTCAGAACGGTACCAGCGGCGAGCAGCCCTGCGATAACCCCAGAGGCACCGGCGGTGGGGTGAACCTGCCCCAGCGAGAGCCGCACGCTGCCCCGCGGGCAGGACCTGCCCGGATCCCTGCACGGCCGGCTGGGCTGGGTACACCTGCACGCACAGCCCCCAGGGACACAGCCACAGCCCCCAGGGACACCGGCCAGCCACAGCCCCCAGGGACACCCGGAGCTNCTCCGCCCCGCACCGCCCCGCGGAGCCTCCGCCGGGCTCCGCCGGGCTCCGCTTGCCATCTAGCGGCAAGCCGGCCCCGCAGAGGGGGGGTCAGGGCAGGGCGGCAGGGGAGTGGGGGTGCGGCAGCCCCCCCGAGGTGAGGGGATGGCGTTTTGAAGGGAGGATGGCCGGGTTTGGGCGGAGAGGGCGGCAGCATCCCCGCGCAGGTGACATCCTCCCGCGGCGGGGGGACCTCGGGAGGCAGGGCTGGCCCTTTGGAGGGGACAGCCAGATCAGAAACGCCACCGAGCACCGTGCCCGGGTGGTGTTCGATTTGGAGGGGTTTAGGAGCAGGACAAACCTCCCTTGCGGGGAAAGGCGGGTCTGGAGTCTGGCAGCACCAGGCTGCAGCTCTGTAGCCCCATCGCTCTGTTTTCTGTCTGGGGGGCACAGTCACGGCCCACGATGTGGGTCCCCAAATTCCCCGGGTATTTCAGGGTACCGCCAAAAGGACCAGGGCGGTGTCCTTGGGAAGACAAAGAAAGGGCCATGAGAGCTGAAGCAGGAGAAGCAGTGCTGAGCTCAGCAGAGGTGTTTCCAGCTCTCCTGTGAAAGGTGGCAAGCACAAAAAGCTTCCCAAAAGTTGGGATTTAAAGGAGCCAAGTGTGCACAGAGCCCAGAGATGCCCCATTTCCAACCCCAGCCAGGATGGGTGCACCCCACTGAGGGTGAGGGACGGGATGCAGCACTCTGGGGTGGGCACAGAATGGCTGGAAGGACAATGCTGTCCCCCATGTGCACTCCTGACCAGGCTACAGGACAGGGCCAGGCTGTGCTCTGGGGGGCTGTGGTGCCAACACGCCACGCTGGCCATGTGGCTGCTGCCCCTCTTTGCACTGGACACCACCACAGGTACCATAAAGCACAGGTGACACTGGGTGACAGCTGTCCCTTTGCCTTCCCCACATTGGGATGCTCTCCCCCCATGGTCTTCCCCAGCCTTTCTCCATCCCATTTTCCTCCAGAGAGAGAAACCCCCCTGCAGCCCCACCTGCCTGGCCTGGCTTAGTGATCCCTCCTCAAGTGCTGAGCAATTCTAGTGCCCTCCCAGCACCAGCCACTCCCTCCTCTACAAACCAACCTTGATTGTGCACAATCCCAGGGTTTTCCCGTGGGGCTGATGATGAGGAAATGCTGCTGTGATACTGCGTTTCCACAGGCATCCCATGTGCTCACACTGCTTCCTTCTCCCCGGTGGAAACCAGGGGTGGCTTTGGTCACCTCCAGGGAGCCTAAGCTGCAGCAGCACCAGCCACAAGTGAGCTCAGGGACAGCAACTGGAAACTTACCCCAAATCAATTTTTTATCATAAAACAGCACTTTTTTTCCAAGCAGAAGTGAGAGGCAAAACTCTGTTCTCCAGGACTTCTTAAATGCAGAAGGATTTTTGTGTTCATCCACACTTTTCATGGGCAGGTGACAGGGAAGGAGTCATTGTCACACGGGGCAGGATCCCAGCAGGATGCAGACGGACACACAGACTGAGGATTTGTGTGGCTCAGGAGCAGCACAAACAAACCCTCAGGTCATCTTGGCAAGGACACCCTTCTCTGAAGCCCATCCTGTGGGGACCTTATGGACACAGCCAGGCAGCCCCAGTGCATGGGCAGACCCCAAACACCAGCTGGGTGCTCGGTCCCTGCTGTTTTAGGTGCAGCTGGGAACATCTGGCCTCCTCTGGATTCTCCAGGAGGGGAGCAGCAGCCTAATGAAGGTGCCATGGGGATCTTGCTACCCCTGATTTCCTGCCTGCTCACTCCATTCCCATCTCCTGCTGCTCTGACAGGAATTCTTAGTCCTCACCTGAGAAGCAAAACCACCTCAAAATCTGGTGCTGCCCTCCAGAGCCCGGCACCAGCAGGAGGCAGAGCCCTTCATTCCAAGAACTTCTTTTTAAGATCAGCTCAGCTCCATAGGGCTGGAAACCTTCCTAATGCACATAAACACTGCATGGAGTGGGTGGTGGAGCAGCCAAACCACCTCCTGGGGTGTGCCAGGGTCCAGCTGTGCCTTCCCGAGAGCCTGGGGTGGGGGGACAGGGAATATCCCACCAAGGAGGGCAGAGCAGCAGGGCCCAGAGTTCCAGTGAGGGGTGAATTCTGTGGGATGGGAACCTCTGACCTCCAGAAGGATAAATCCAAGGTCCTTCTGTGCATCCCACAAGCTCTGGATTGTGCCAGTCCAGCTCCTCCCTGAGGCCACTGGCAGCGGCTTCCCAGCAGGAAAATCTGGGGTGTGGCAAGGCACCACACATTAATTATTTAAGAATTAGGGGTGAGTGACATTGAGGGGAGAAGGGACCAGGGAGGAGATGGTGTCCTCCCATTCCTCCTTCCAGAGCTGATCCTGGGCTGGAAAACTCCCCCAAAGGGTTTGGCTGGTCCTGGACAGGCAGAAGGCAGCTCAGACACTTTGGCTTCTTCCAGGTGCCTCCTGAACACTGACCAGGAAATTAAAATAAAATAAAATACAACATTAAAAATAAAAAACCGAAATAAAATATAAAACACAAAATATAAAATATAAAATATATAATATAAAATATAAAATATAATAATATAATAATATAATAATATAATAATATAATAATACAATAATATAATAATATAATAATATAATAATATATAGCAATAATATATAACAATATATAGGAGTATATAATAGAATATAATATGAAATAAAATGTAATATGAAACACATAATATAAAATTATAAAATCTAAAAAATAAAAAAAATAAAATAAAATAAAATAAAATAAAATAAAATAAAATAAAATAAAATAAAATAAAATAAAATAAAATAAAATAAAATAAAATAAAATAAAATAAAATAAAATAAAATAAAATAAAATAAAATACAGAAATCTGCTCTTGTCAATCTCCATGCACATCCTGGCAGGGTGCTGGGGTCAGCAGCAGCAGTCAGAATTACTTCTGCCACTCCCAATTCCCACCAGAATCCACCATGCAGGATCCATCACAGGGACAGGAATGTGGCATTCCCCATCCCCCCAGGGCCCTCATCCCTGAGGAGAAGAGCTGCAGCAGCCAGTCCTTTCCCTGTGATGCTGCTTGAAACAAAAGCTTAATTAACTACCAGCTCGATGTCTGTTTAGAGGGATAAATCTAAAATCCAAGGATGGTAATAAAGTAGTGAATTATCTTCTTCGGCAGCTGAGAAGCAATAGCCCCAAAAATCAATATGCTGAAGTTATAGTGTGCACACACACACACACACACACACACACAGAGGTTTGTTATTCCGAATTCAGCAGTAGCAGGGAATGGAGAGAACCAGCCCAGCAGCCAGCTGGCCCAAAAGGAACCAGTTTTACACCAGTTTTTACACCCAGAGGTGGAAATGGAGCATCTCTGGTGCAGGCTCCAGGCTGCCCCTCCACAGCTCTGCCTGTAACTGGGGCAGGGCCAAAGCTCCAGCTCTGACACCAGAGCATGCTCTGGGAGATGGGACTCATCCTCCAGCACTGGCCCAGTGTCCTGGTTTAGGGCAAATTTGGGAGAAAAACTCCAAATGGGATCCCCTTCAAGCTGCCCTTACCCCCCACAGGCTTGGGAGACATAAACCTTCTTTGAGAGAAGTGGAAAAATCTGTTTGTTTGACAAGCAAAGTACTCACAAACTTGGAAAATCAATCATATTAAACAATGGAACCTCTCTCTGTTCTGAAGAGGTGGCAAATTCAGAAGTTCTTGTCTGGGGGCAGCTCAGCTCAGTCTCTTATCAGCCCCTCCAGGCTGGAAAATGCCGCGGCCCGGCCCTGCTGGGCCCAGGCCTGAGCTCCCGGGCTTTGCCTGGGCCTTCAGCCCAGAGCAGGGCCCAGCAGCTCCAAGAAAAGGAAAAGCCACAGTCTGGGGAATTTCTCTGCCTCAGCTGGCTGAAAAACAGCCAAAGGAGAGCTGTGTCCTGCTGTCCCTGCTGCAGACAGCACAGTCCAGGAGCACAGAGCAGTCAGTGCTGTTTGTGCAAACAAACTGCGGCCTCTTCTCTCCACCTTTGCACTCAGAACCGGCCTTAGAGGGGCAGAACTCAATATCCAGCATAAACAGAACAACTGGGGGTACAAGCATCATAAAATCACCCTAGGACACCCAGCAAAAGGCCTTGGGAATTTTCAGCTGATCCCTGGTAACTGTGCAAGCCCGAGTCCCACAGCTCCCCAACCTGCCGTGGCTGCACAGAACCTCCCTGGGTCACCACAGCTGCAGAAAAAGGGTTATAAATGCAGGGGAGCTGTAACCCACCAGAAATAAAGCTTAAAATACATTCCTGTGACGATCACAGACACACACTCATCACTGCTCAGCTGGAGCACCTCCAGACAAGCCACAGTGACAGGATTTACCTGGGCTTCACCTGGATCATGTGCTGGGGATCCAAAAGCACCCCAGGACCCTCCAGAGACTCCCCACTCCAGCCCAGGACTCTTCTTTAACCCTTTCCAAAGCCTGGGGGTTGGGTCTGCCCATGTTTCATCTTGGAGCCTTCTCTCAAGCCTCAAGCTACTTGGTCTTCATGGAAAAATAATGATCCTGGAGGGGGAGAATCACAGCAAACAGTGGAGCTGTAATGTGCCATGACAAGCCACTTCCTTAAGTCCTCCCCACGCACAGCCTTGCCCTTGAGATAAGAGAGATAATTTGATTTCGGGATCTGCGATGCCCAAATGCTCTGGGCGTTAGGATCACTCAGTCACCGTAACTTCTCTGTCCCCTCCAGGCGACACTGCTGGGGACAGGGAGCTCTTTTATTGACATGAAACCACTGGGCTCCAGCGCTGGCTCAGCCTCAATCGCTGCATTCACGCCTCTGCCCATCTCTGTAGCAACAAGGCAGAAAGGCTCCGAGCCTGGGCCCGACCTCCTGTGCCACTGAGCATCACCAGCTAAAAAACAGCTAAAAAACCCTAAATTTGCTCCTCTGTTGGTGTTTGGAGAGAACAGCGGCAAAAAGCAGGGAGGGGATGGCAGTGTCCTAAAGCCACCTTTGCATCCCCATGCACAGGATGCTCAGGAGCTCCCAGAGACTGCTGAAAGGGACCAAGAGGTGACAGCAAAGACCCTGGGCACAGCTGGCCTTACAGTAAATGTGCAGTAAATGTGCAGTAAATGTGGGTGCTGAAGATTCATCCACTAGCTTAAAGTCCCTGTGACTGCAGCCTGCAGAAGATGATTTCCCTTCAACACTGGAAATCCAGAAGCACTGCTCAGTTAACACAGCAATGAGAGGGCACCTGACACTGCCCTGGGGGATTTACCAGTCATGAAGGTCCCAGAATCTGTTCTCTGGTCCATGGGGCTGCTCTCTGCTCCCCAGGGGTGTTCTCTGGGACAGTTCTTCAGCTCACAGGGCTGTTCTCTGACCCCTCGAGCTGTTCTTTGACCCCTGGAGCTGTTCTTTGGTCCCTGGAGCTTTTCATTGGTCCCTGGGGGATGTTCTCTGATCCCCAGAGCTGTTCTCTGGAGCTGTTCTCTGGTCTCTGGAGCTGTTCTTTGGTCCCTGGAGCTGTTCTTTGGTCCCTGGAGCTGTTCACTGGGGCTGTTTTCTGGAGTTCTCTGTTCCCTGGAGCTATCTGCATGGCTGAGGTCTCAGTGGGGTACAAGGTACCAGCAGGCAGACACTGATCTCAGTCCTCTCCTACCCTAGGAAGGCAGCTGGGAGCCCGATGATGATGTTCAGCACTTCTGCACGACCTGAAGGCAGAGCCAGCAGCATCCCCGGGGGCAAATCCGGCAGGGTTGGAGGCTGGTTGCAGCCTGGAGCCCATCTCCTGCTGGGAGCATCCCCTGGGGAGCAGGGGCAGCAGGATTGCAGCCCTTGGATCCCAGGGATGCTGCAGCTCCCAGTGCTGGCAGCACAGCCCAGGACACGTCCTGTGCTCAGGTACCCGCTGGAGGGGCACAGCCAGGTCAGGTGTAACACACGGGATTCTCCAGCTCCCGTCAGCACAGGGCTGTCAGCGCTGCCTTGCACGGGCAATTTGGGAAATTCCTGCTCTTCCAGCCCGTCAGCACTGTGAATCCTTCACTTCCATTAGCTGCTAATTTGCTAATGCAGCAGAGGAAAATAATCGATGTAAGGATCACTCCTCAGCTCCCAATAGGATTATGTGTTCTGAGAGCAGCGGGGAAGCTGAATTTCCCTTTCTCTTCCTGCTTAAATAAACTCATGCATTTTCCTTACTATGTTAATTAAACCCAGCAACGACCCCGGCTTCACGAGAAGCAAACACAAAAGGTGAAAGGAGAACCTGGCCCAGCTTTATCGGTCAAGAAGGGCTCCCGGCTCGCCGGCTGCAAAGGGAGATGCTCAGAGGAAACACGAGCAGCAATTAAAAATTAAAGAGAGATGAGATGTGTGCAGACAAGGGAGGTGCATTTGGATCGCTGCAGTGCATTAAGGAGCAGCTCCTGACCCCCCCGGGGAGAACAATTCCCTCTCTGGGCAGCTCTGCCCAGCTCCATCCAGGCAGGGAAGAGGCAACAAAGAAGGGACCGAGCCCAGGGTAAAGGAGAGCAGCAGGGCAGGGTGGGAAACGCTGAACCACTGCTCCTGAAGGGGACTGAGCATCCTTCCTCCCTTCGGGCGAGGTTATTTGAGGAGAAACACCCCAGAGCACACTCACCGGGAAGAGGAGCAGGAAAAAAGTCAGGGAAAGAGTGAGCCCCGAGGGCTGGATCTGTCCCTTTGCTGGGCAGGCTCCTCAGAGCTGCCAGTTCAGGTTTGCCTCCCCCGTCACACTCAGCTGAGCACATTTCCCAGCCCGCTGCGGTCCCAGGAGGACAATACATTGCTCAGCCATTGGATTAGCATCGAAAGAACAAGAAAAATCCTCTGCAGGAGCCTCCCAGCCACATTAGCCCGTTATCCTGTGCTCCTGCAGCAAGTGCTGCCTCCCCAGCCCAGGAGAGCCCCGGAGCTCCCCCAGCCTTCCCATGGGATGAGGATGGATCCCATCCCCTGTGGAACAAACCCGCTGATCTGGTGGCATCACCGGGCATGGTGTGTTTGAGCTCAAGGTGAAAAGTGCTTCACACGGGGCTGGGAAGAAGGGAGAGCTCAAAGCACCCCAACAGGATCCCCTATCCATGATGTGAGCAATCCAGGGCTCACATCAACACCCCAAAATGAGCCCAACAGGGCACCCACAGCCCCTGCAAGAGGCTGGGGAGTGCCAGAGCTGGGAGCCACTGCCGAGAGCAGAGGAGTGCTGCAGCAGGAGGAAGGTTTAGCCAAATTAAGAGGGACAGTATATATCAAGCTTTGGCTCTAATTAAAGAAAATCAAGTCAGGGCTGAGAAGAGCAGGAGCTCTCCAGCCTTTTAAGAGATTCCATGCAGCTTCACGGTGCTCACAGCCCTTCCTGACAGGGTTTGGGAGCAGTTTGTGCCTGGGTGCCCCTGAGCCCGAGCACCCAAAGGGGAGCTGAGGATCGCCCACCCCATCCCTCGGGGCCCATCAGAGGGGACAGAAGCGCCCTTGTCCCAGTTCCCCCCAGCTGCTGGTGCCCCCAGGCAAAGCCCTGCTCCTGCTGAAGCACAAGGCCAGTCCTAGAGCCTGGCAGTGGGAATCCCCCCACCATGGGAGCCAGAGCCATCGCAGATGGGGAGGGGAAGTGGCCCCCGGCTGCTGCGCTGCTCATGAACACAGGTGGATTGTCCACAAGCACACCATTCACGTGTGGAATTGTTAAAGTCCAGTTATTAAAATTATTGAGGAATTCCTCAGCCTGAATTAAGGTGCAAACGAGACCATATGCCAGTGACAGTAGTAGGGATTTTATTTAATAGCAAATATGAGGGAAAGAAAAGGGGAAAGAAAGAAGTAGGGAAAGAGGAGCTTGGGGAATGTGGGCAGGAGAGAGTGAGGCGAGACAGACTAGGTAGAAAGTATCATCATTCCATGAATCCAGATGACACTCCATTGATCCTCCTCTGGTCTTCTTGGTGGTGAAGGTCTCCCCAAAAAGCATAGAATAATATGTTAATATGGTTAACATACACACAGCCCAGGTAGAGAAATCCAGGCACCTCCCTGGTGGCGAGTTTGCCCTTGTCTTTTACAACAGACTCTGGGTTTGTTCCATCACGTGCAGTCCTGTGGTTCAGGAGTGACTCTGAGGGACACACCAGGGAGCTTTTGGTGGATTTAGGCACCCCCTTAGCTGCCTCTCACATGAATGTCCCATGGATTCCCGGGATTGGGGGTTCCACAGCCAGTTTGTGCAAGGGAGGATGGGTTCACTGCCCCTGAGCAGAGGTTACAACACACCCAAACTTCCTTCCCCCACCCAGGGTAGAGGGGAAATCTGTACAAAGCTGCTCCCAGCAAATGGGTCTGTAGGCTATGGCCTCCCCCACCCCAAAGCAAGTCAGAAATGATCCTTGGTGTGGCTGCTGGGTCAGGTTCACACTCTTTTCCTTGTTTCCTTGTTTGTTACAGGTGATTGAAGAATGGGTTTTCTCTTTATCCAATCTCAGCAGTTCCACTTTCAGTCCAAAGTTCTGATCTTCAGGGAGGTTTCTCTGGCTGTAGCTTCTTTATACAGCTTTAGTTACAATGAGCAAACCTTCATATTGGTGTTTGAGGCATGAACTATTTCAGTCTGTGACAGGTGTCCCCACAACACCAACACCAGCACCTCCCTGCCCTCATTTCTCTCAGGTAACAGGGAGAGGGCTCAGCCAGGGCTGCTGCTGGTCCCTGGGGCTGGCAGCAGGAGAAGGGGGCACAGGCTGCCCCTGCAGTGAGGAGCTGAGCCTCAGCT